TATTATATAGACACACAGACACTAACTTTCTACTTTCAAAAAAAGTAAAACGCAATAATGAGGTATAAGTCATTAATATAATTTATATGAAGAAATACTAGTATTAGCCTCAATAATCTCAATAATCCTAATGTTCATTTTACTTTATAAACCTCTTATTTCACAAGATTTTGTTTTGGGCTTTGAATGTAAGTTTGTTTTAAAATACAAATCAAATAATTCTTTCCACATCACTGTCAGAATTATTAAATTTCTTTCCAAAGAGTAAACACTTAAAGCGCAGTATCAAAGCTTATTATTTATTAAGCAGTCAAATTAAATAGGCCCTTTGAGGAATGATTAAACTAATTTTTTTTATTGTTTGTTTTTCCTTAGCCTGGAGAAGACTGAAGCATGACAGAAAAAGAAAGCCCTTTAGATATGTGAATAGAAAGGGTTTTGTTCCTGCCTGCTGTCTAGCTCTCTTGAAGAGAGGACAAAAGAAATGTGCATAAATTGAAGCTGAAGGAAGTGAAGTTAAATATTACAGAAGACTTTCTGGATGGAACACTTGTTAAACACTAGGATAGAGTATCGATTAATCAATGTCAGATGTCAGTCAGGGTTTGGGCAATCTTCCCCAGAGAGCAGCTCCTGATTAACCCGTGTCTCTCTTCCTCTCTCTCCTACCCTGGAGCCTCCCAGCACTGCTGTGTGTATGTGTCTTCATGCCACCGTTCCCTGTATATACTGTGTTTGTGCCTGTTCTCTCAGAGCCCATCAGTGCAAGAAACCCCTGAACCCAAATTACTATAATATCATGCTGCACAGTACGATGTCTTGCTACTTATGGGCACTCAGCACATGCTCTTGAGAGGGACTATTTCTCTAGATCTTTTTATAATAAATACCAATGGGAGACAGGCACTTTGATCGAAAGTGTCCATAACTAATCTTGTGTTTAATGGTTATGTGTGCAAATTTCAGTTCCTTTAGAAGAGAAGTTTAGCTACTTCACCCTTATACAACTGCTAATTGATGGTCTCACTGCCCATTGCCAAGAAAAACTATTTATCCCTTAAAATGCAGTACCCAGAATGACTGTAACTCTTTGCTAGTGGTAGAAATAGCTTTTGGATCAGGAATGGGAAACATCTAGTTTTAGGCACTGAATTCTGAAGAGGCCCTTCATTCACCCTTAAATGCCCAATTTGCACAATATTTTGGTATAGTAAATGGTTACATAGTTTCAAAATACTCTAAGAGAGAAAATAAAATATACTATTTCAAAAGAAAGTAGAGAAAAGAAGTAAAGCACACATCTTTAGCAAGGTAAAATGATTTAAGAAAAGAAAAAAAGTAACTGCATCTTTCCACTAATACATGTATGACTTATGTATATCATAAATTACCAAGCCAAATCCATACGTGATGCCTAAATTATACATTTAAAATTATATGTGTGTTATATATCTAAACTGATGAGTTAACTTGAAGCACTGTCACCACCATTCATTTTGTATATGGTTATCTAAGACAAAGCACTATTTCCTATTTTTTCACTGACTACCAGAGACTTTTCTTGTGATATTCAATGATATTGGTAATTACTGGTAACAGATGAAGTTTTCTGATTGGCTTCATTGCATCCATAGACTATATTATCAATGATAGTATAGTTACCGTTTGTATAGTGACTACTATTTACCTTCCCCAAACCCTGATTCAAATGGATTCTAGCTTTATAGATAAGAAAATGAGGCTGGGGTGGCTAGGGTAGTAGTAGTGGTGGTGATGATGATGTGAATAACTTGCTCATACTTCCACAGAAAGTAGGAGAGTTAATATTCAAGCACAGTTGGTCTGAATAGAAAGTACATGTTATTTCCACTAGTATAAACTACCACTTTGCATCTCACAAGAACTTATATTAACATAATATATTAACTAATAACACCTAAAGGACTTGTTCTAATTAATGCTATTTCTAAGCATAAAGAAATTTTACTTCACCATCTGAATCCATTTCACATTATCACATGTGCTGATAAAATGCAATACCTCTCTGATAATAAAGGAGAATCAGACCTGGCCTGCAAATTCATGGGTATTGTGGAGTATGCATAGAGATTCCAGGTAAACCCTGTAGCCAAGCTATGTGAGATGAGGCAAAA